ACTTCAAGTAGCTTAGGATGTGCCTGGCTGTCTTTCATTTATTGGCATTAAAGTTTATTTGAGCAACGGCTGTGGAATGCATCAACATGTTTTGATATGCTCAGATCGCGGTGAGCACGGTTGAAAGCTTACAAAATATCATAAATATAAATAATAATAAATATAGTGCACATAATATTTTGGAAAAGTTGTTAAGTAGGCTCTTGTATGGCAATATATTCTTTGCAACCCTTTCTTACTCGTCTTAATTTACTCAAATGAAATTATTCCTTATTCAATTTGACTGCACCCAAAACTCATTAATCAAAAGCAACTATTTTGTCACTTTACCCGCAATAAAAATGCCATAAGTAAAATAAAAAAAAGCCATGCCCAAATGTCCATTAATAAACGACAATTAAAAGGCAGCCCCGGCTCTGGGTTCAGGGCTCTTGGCTCGTGGTCCAAATCTTGCTTTGATGGTGCCCGCAGCCGCCATGTGAAGCTGTCGTCAAGGCTCACTCTCTCTCTGGCTCTCTCTCCTTCATTTTTATTAATTCAGAATCGTGCAAGCAGCGCAAGCTGTGCCAGTTTTTTTCCGAAATTGATGACCTCATGACCTCGCCAAAAATACAAAAAATATAAAATAAAAACCGCTCACAAATGTATGTAGCAGGGCAAGGGGTAGGGCATTGTCTGGCCATTGTTTGGCACTTGGGCTCAGTATTTATTTGGGCAAATTCTTTAAAGTCAGCGCGTGCCCTTATCTTATGACCGCCCGGTACGGCAAGGACCTCTCCAAAGCGTTCCTTTCTTATCATTGTTGTTGCAGCTAAGCCTTACAAATTCGTTATTAAGATGTTTAACCAAACGTTCTGGATTTGTGAGCCGGCGTGGGCAGCGGCCTTTAACAAAAATTGCCACAAATAAATGAGCAAATATATAAAATGATCCCAGCCTTTGGGTGCTTTTCGCCGCAGGCCGGCCAGGGGTGGGGAGAGGAGGATGGAGGAGAGAGAAGAAGAGAGAGAGATACACATATGTTTCTATGCTGGGGCTGGGATCAAACAATTTGTTCATAAGCCCAAACAGCGTGCAAATATCGAAAACTAATTTCATCAAATATTTACGGCTCATAATAAATCAATTTGCACTTTGCTGCCAAAAAAATAGACAAAGGCAAGACGAAGCTGTAATACTCTTACTGTTAGAAAATTTTCAAAAAAAAACCTTATAGTCCAAGTTAATAAACTATACCACATTTTAGTATTCAACAGGCCTGCTAGTCGGGAACTCAATTAACATTTCGCAGCAATACCACGCCCTAAGGAGTTCATTAGCCCAAACTCTCTCATCAGCCCATCCGACTTTAGGTTCTGTGCTCAAATCTGTTCAGCTGCCAGTCGAATGCTCGCAACAAGCTCAACGAACAGCCCATGTACTACAGTGAGGGTATTTCGTTCAGTCGCACGCACATAATTAAATGAAGCATACGCACCGGGGCCATGCTCATATGTTACGTATACGCCGCGTGTGACGTCTAAAAATGATGGTCGCTCGGCACGCTTTGGGCCATAAATCAATTTGGCAATGCCAACAATGCGAACACCTGCAGCTGCAGCTTTAAACAAAAAAAAAAGAGAGAGAAGCGAACACAAAAACTAAAATTTACAATTATAAATCAGTGAATGGGCGGTGGGCGGTGGGCGTGGTTGAGTGATGGGCAGCTAAACGACGCTTGACCTGCGGCTATTTGCACTGCGCTGACGCACTAATTCAGCCCTTTGGCCCCGTAATATATTGATATATCAATAAGAGCATTAAGCGGCAAGTATTTAAATGTGTGCGGCGGCTGACAACGCCAACAACCGAATCATTAGCAGCAAAGTAAATTTATTGTTTATTGATATTAGCCGCGAGCCAATAGCTCAGCAATTGGCCCGGTCACGCCCACACATGTGGATGCATATGATATATATAAATTGTAATTTATATAAAAGCCAAGTTGGCCAAGACAGTTGTGAATGTGCTTTGGGCCCAATGTATGCAAAATACTTGCCCGTAATTCCTTCTACGCTCGCTGCACATCTTATGCAAATGCCGGACCTGGGAGTTGGGGTTCTCTATATATCTCTCTCTCCCTCTCTCCCTCTCTCTCTCTTTCTCTCTGTCAAGCAGAAAGCAAAGCAGTTGCTTTTACGGCGCATTGCATATTATACAATATATATATATATAGTTGAGTACTAGTCCGTAGACTTTTGCCCCCCTTCTGTGTGGGCTGGGACTTGCCCTTCTTAGATATATGTACTTCTATATAGGAAAATTGCATGTTTCGCTGCAATGAAAACAAATCGCAAAATTACCATAATCAAAGCATAAAAGGGATTTTTCTTTCTTTCTTTCTACAAATGCCGCTCTTTATCTCTCTCTCTCTCTCTCTCTCTTTCGCTCTTTCTGTCTCTTCCCGCTTTGCCACTTTGAATGTTGCACTCACAATTGTCCTGTTGTCGCTGTTAGACAAAGGGAAATTTTGTAAAGTTTCGCCAAAGTTTTCAACAAAAATATCTTAAAGTAATTGGCCTCGTTTGTTGTTAGCCCAAAGAACAGCAAATTCAATTTTGGAATAGATATACCCGATGGCATCGCAATTGATGCGGACATTTTACGAATTGTTTCCCCGAAGTTTTTTTACGCGCTGCTCCCTTATTGGCCAAGTGAATGCAATGAGTGGTAATTTATTCCCAAATGTGAATAATGAGTGCGCATTTTTGAATGCGCTTTGGCCAGACAAATGCAGCGACTTTTATTATTAGTTAGAGCTATCAGATACTTGAGATGTTAGCAGCTCTTCAAATGAAGGAAGTTTCCTCGAAGAATGTCCATAAATAAAATAATATATGTGACTTAAAAGTTGTAGCAAATCGAATATATAGAAAATATGAGCATATTTGCAAATATTTTACACAGAATTAGATACAAATTAAGGATTAGCATATTAGTGCCTAAATTAATCGAGACCAAAACATGCTTATTGAATGAAAATACTAAATAGACCACAACAACAACAACAAAAACAATGGCGGCAGCAAAAACAATGAAATTTAATACAAAAGAATTAACATTGAGTTAACACACACGCACACATACACACATTGTTAAGCCAATTACAACAAATGTCAAATTGTCGGACGGAATTAAGACAACCAAAAAGTAACATGAAAAGTTTTCACCCGAATATAGAATACCCTATTTACCATGGCTTGCTACAAACAAGATATGAAATCTTAATTACATATAAGGAAAGAGTATTTTGTAGTTGAAAGCTTAAAGCTAAATATAAAATGTTTTAAAATGCATATGATGTATTAAAATATAGTAAATATAGTTTCATATCAAAAATTACTCAGAAACAAGTACAAGTATAAACGCGACTCAAATAGAAATATAACCAAAAGTGAGAAAATTGCTGTTGCTCTTTAAATTTTGTTATATTTTCAATCATTTTCTAATTCAACTTTTTCTTCTCTTATAGATTGCATTTTTAAATGCCGCTTCAATTTTTGATCTCTCTCTTTTTTTTCTGCAAGAAATGTGTTTTGCCTTCCCTTAGGTAAAGAGAGCATTTATATATGCATACAAAGCGATTATGCCACTTACCGTTCATCTCCGAAGGCGCTTTCGTTGCTGGCAGGCGGCGAATTGATGTGAAGAAGAACAAGCACAAAAGGGCGCGAGCCCTGGTGGCTGCGCTCTCTTCTTCTTGCTCTTGTTATTCGCTCATTTTTGCGTTTCCTTATACACACTTTAAAATGGCGCGCTTTTCGGTGATCGGCGCAACGGAATAACGGATTAACACGCACGAGCTTGAAAAAGAAATGAACAATTGAAAATTAACACGCGTTTTTCTTGAGCTGGCGAATAAATATAAGAAACTGAGACACAATTAAAATTAACAAGAACTATGCGGTTCACTTCACTTGCACTTCACTTGGGACGATGGCTTCTTTGGCTGCTTGAAGCAGTACTTTGGGTCTGTTCTCTATTATGAGACGGGTGTATGTTCCTTCAAGGCTTTCTACAGTTTATCACACTAATTATATGCCCTAATAATAACTATTAACTAATAATTATTCACTCAATAGTTAATCGCACTATATTTTTGGCAAAAAACACAAAAGAACTGCAAAAAAAAGCCGGACAGAATTTGCAGCTTCACCGCCGACGTGTGCTGCTGAGTTGCGAATTAAAACTAATTCGACGAAACTGCAGCGACGCTAGACTCTCCCACACGGTTTCATTTGGGCGGCGAATTCGATTTAATGCCGGGAGCGCAATTAATGATCTTCAGAGGGAGCCAGCTTATTTGGCGAATTAAGCGAATTGACCATTGTGCCTCGATATCCATCTGGAGGTAGTTTTCAGTAGTTCAGTTTTTGTTATAACGCTTAGTCTACTGTTTTTGGTATAACACTTAGTCTACTGTTCGAACTGCGACCAAGCCAGCGATTCAGCATACTTGTATGTATAACTGTATGTATGTATGTATATGTGTATGATTGCATGTGCTTGCATGCATGCCCTCAATCTCTCTCTATCGCTCCCTCTCGCTCGCTCATTTTGTTGTCTTTAACCTTATACGTTTGCATATTTGTAAAGAGAGAATAATTTTTCTCTACTGATGCAGGCGTTTCCTCTTGCTTTTTATTGAAAAACTGACTTCTTAAACATTTGCTATATGAAGCATTATTTGCCTGTCGACAGATTCAAACTGAACTGAACATTAAAAGCACATGCAATCCACACAAGATCCACTTTCCACTGCAGATGAAAAGTACTGGCTGTACTTTCCACGCGCTGTCGCCGGAGGGCGCTGTTCAAATTACCCCCTTGGTTAATGTCCGTACTAGAAATAGGATTTGAAATTTCGGTTTACATAAAAAATACAAATTTTATTGGTTTCAGTTGTTGTTTCATTTCATAGATAAAAAAAAAAATCTATTAATATTTACTAAAATTTGAGACTATAGATTTTACAATTTAAAACAAAAAAAAAAAAAATAAAACGAAACAATATATCAACTGGAAGACAATAATTGAACATTGATATGTTACGGGCACGACTACGATTTATGACTATGGACGCAACACAATTGATATCTACGTACGACAATTTATCAGCTAGGAACACACAGAAAAGACGATACTAAAGTTACGAATCTAGTGACAATTATTGCTTCTCAGTTGCTGTTGTCGCTGGCGAAATTCGATGGGGAACATAACAGAGAACAATTGGGACGCTTACCACGCCCATCTGGGCGACACCTTGTCGAAATTCCACTCATCCGGATGACCCTCGTGATTGCCATCATCGAGCACGCTCATCGCCGACCATTTGAAGGGACCGCTGCCAATCTTTCGCATGGCTATCGCACGCATATCATTACGCACGGGACGCCGCTCCGTAATCAGCTCCAGCTCGGCCAGAGTATGTGCATCATCGATGGTCACGCTGAGCCGCTCATCGCCGATGGCAGCGGGCGCTGCCTGATCCGCCTGATCCAGCTGCGGCTCCTCCAGCGAGGAGCGTGCCTGCGCATGCTGCAGCCGCAGAAAGATGGGTCCGGCAAAGGCATGGTAGTCGCTCATGCCCAGACGCGCATTGTAGGAGAAGAGCTTGAGGTCAATGTTGCCATAGGCAATGGACTCATCGCCCAGCAGATCGCCGCGAAAGCCGCGCTTGCGCAAATACTTGTCCACCGCCTCCAGATTGGTCAGTTCCGCCTCCTCGGCGGGCGTCAGATCCTGATCCTCGCTGTAGTTGTCGCGCGAGATGCGGCTGGCATTTAGTATGACATCGAAATAGGGCACGCCATTGGCCAGCCAGGTGGAGTTGCCGGCCAACAGAAAGTTCTCCGTCACATCCTTGCTGTGCACCAGTCCCGGCAGCTGTTCCACAATCCAGACCATGTTCTTCAGCTGATCATGACGTTCGCTGATGGCGGCATTATCCTTCTCGTTGAGCGGCACGGGCGCATCGTCGTGCTTCTCATCCGCATCCAGCGTATTGTAGAGATTATCCTGTGCGCCCAGCTTATTCAGGTCCACGCTTATCCACTGCTTGGCGCCCGTAAACGGATGACGGGACATGGCCCGTGCCCAGGTGCGTCGATTCTGGGCAATGCGATTGGCGGCCATGACGCGGGCAACAAGCGGCACCATGTTCTTAACGTCCACCTTTTCCCACAGCGCCAGGTTCTCGTTCTTGATGCACACGCCGCCCACAATGGACTGCACCTGGCGTCCCTTGACCACATAGAAGTCATCCGTGGAGCCAATGATGCCCGGATAGCCCGTGAAGGTAATGTCCGCGCCGGGCACCGTATTGCTGCGCGTATCGGGCGAGAAATGGTAATGGAACTTGTAACGCTTCTGGATGCGCAACATGGACGAATAGCTGCCGGCGGTGCTGTGGCCAAAGAGCAGCTGCAGCGACTGCTGCGGCGCCTGTTCATCGCGCAGCAGCCGCGTCAGCATCGAGGCGCTGGGCAGAAAGAAGTTCTTGCTGCCGGCCGCGCCCGCCTCGGCGGTGCCATTGGGCAGCACATAGTTCTCATAGTAGATCTTCAGATCCTGGATATCGGCAGCCGCATTCATCAGCAGAAAATCGGATAGCGGTATTTCCTCCTCCAAGTCGGAGCGTGCACGCGTCGCGCCACGTATATAGCCCGTCTCCATGCCCTCCAGCTGATTGAGTATCAGATGCAATTGATGCCAGTAATGATCGTGCTCGGCCATGGCCGCCGCCTGCTCCTTCAGCTGTTCATAGTTGCGGGTCAGCAGATTGCGCAGCCATTCGCAGAACTTCTGCGAGCTCTCATCCCGATCGCAGGAGGAGGAGATGGTGCTAAGGGCGGGCAAGAAGTTCAATGAGTAACTGTGTGTGGCGAGAGATGAGAACTCGTACTTACTTGGCCCACTGATTGTAGATGTTCTTCCAGGTGAGCGAACCCTCCAGTATGCCAGCGGCATAGGCCTGCACCCAGTCCGGATAGCTGCGCTGCGTCTCCACCTCAATTTGTGCCCAGCTGAAAGCAGCAGAGGATAAGGTGAGTATATCAAGTATATGCGAGTATAAGAGACCGGACTTACCCATTCTCATAGACGGAGTCCTTGTAGCATATTCTAGCCACGCCCTTGGGTATGTTAACCAAATCGTTTTGCTGTTTCCAGTTCTCAATCTGAAAGCCCACCTTCTTGGTCCAGAACGCGGTGGCACAGTAGGTGCCATCGTATTCGGGCCGATCCATATAGCCGACAAAGAACGCACCGATCACCAGCAAACCGGCTCCGATCAGTATATACGTCCCTATACGCGTTTTCTGCCATGATGCGCCGACGACTTTCAGCATGGTTCCGTCCGTCTTGAGGCCGCTTTCGACTTGGATTGGGAATTGGTTAACTACACTTCACACGGCTTTGGCTTTGGCTTTGGCTTAAGTGCACTCTTTTCACTCGCCTCGGCAATAGTTGAGATCGGCGCGTGCCGCGTAGGAGTGGCCCAGTTTGATGGCAATCACTTGGCCAGGATGCAGATCCTGTCTGCTGCTGCTCCTGCTGCTCCTGCTGCTGCTGCTGCTGCTGCTGTGGTTCACGGTGGCCGCGCTGTCAAGCGAAACGACCGTTTGGTTCATCGGTGTGGACGCTGCTCTTGGGCAGTGGATCAATTGGTTCCCAATGAAAAAGACTATCAGAAAATTTGTTCAGATCAATCGGTGGTGCAAGTGGTTGCTATTGTGGTTGGCTTGGTTTCGGTTTAATGCCAGCGCGCCGCTGTGTCCAGTGGCAGCTCCAGCTAAATGTGTCTGTGGCACGAATTTACAGAGGTTCAAAGTGTATCCCTGAAACACACAAAGAAAGAAATAATTAATAAATATATTTAATGCAATATACATTCGCTTGCCAAAGTAAAATTTGTATACAAATATTAGCAATGTTTTAAGCGTATAAGTATTTTGTATGATACCCAGCGTGGGAAGGGCGTGCTGATTTTGTTGATACGTATGTAACAGACAGAAGAAGGCATCTTTGTACTTATAAGAAATCTATATGCCTGCTTTCCATTAACAGACAATTTGTCTGTCCGTCCGTCCGTTCGTCTGGAATGCATCCATCCCAGTGTCTTTAAGAGGCAGAGGCTTAAAATTTTAAGCCTAGCTTAGGTATACCAAACTTATATATATATATATATATGGTATATTTAACACAGATCCAAAATTTCATATTTAATATTTTAGATACTTCCCCTGATTTCTCCCAAAACCCATTGGTGCAGCTATAGCCGAGGGCTTTGGTATTTACACTCATTTGTGACCTGCGAATTTCATAAGCGATCGAACAATAGGCACCGAAGCAAGTTATGTAAGCATTTGCCCCTAGTTAGTATTGGTATATTTTTGTATATAGATGTTTGTGTTGGCAGCTCGCCGCTAGGTCAAGGGTATCGCCCAGTGTGTTATGCCCAATTGGAGTAGTTGTTTTTATTAAAATTTTTAAGGCATTTCTTTGGCGTCTGGCATGCTCGTGTATTTATATGAAAAGCAACGCTCATTATTGTGCCATTAGTATAAATATTTATACAATGCGCATTTGCTGTTCAATAATAATAAACATTTGGCTTCGTTTGCAATTCGTTTTGTAATTCGTCTCAATTAGATTTATGAAGATGCGGCCAAAATCGGCATTTGTAATTCATATTCATCACAAGCGCCAGAAAATCGCATAAAAGTGCGTGAAAGCTATATATATATATTTGTACTAAATCTGCACTTGATTTGAAAAACATTCACACCTCTTTGCCTTTTGGCGCATATGTAAACAAATTTTTAGCATTTGTAAAACTTATAAATTTCGTTTATGACCCGAGTGGCTCCTGAGTGGCGAACTTTTATGGCGCCCACCTGTTCTGTGTTCCCTATGATATATATATTTATTTAATATATAACAGTATAACAGTAATAAGCTGTAATAATAAAGTCTGGCTTTCTACTTTTGGATTATGCCAAAAACATATGCTCCACTTTAAGTAGAACATGGCAAAGAATCTGAAGGCAACGTTTAATATGTAAAAGATATAGAAAAAAAAAACACAAAAATATATATATAATATGAGTTGTAATTAGAAATTCCAATGGATATTCAGCTTGTATAACAACTCGAACAAGATAAACAAATTGAAAACAAGAAAATTGCGCATACGCCCCGTTGCCAGTTCGATTCAAATGAATCGGAAACGATTGGGCACGTGGAAGAGAGCTGAATATTGAAATGAAAATCATGCAAGTGAATTAATTTACCTGATTTCGTTGCCGTTTTACATTGAGTATCTGCATCTGTGTATCTGTCAGATACAAATCCACAAAATTTGCACAATTTGCACATCAATCAGTCAACAAACAAACACAATCAAAGCAACAGTAAAAATAGAATATTAGATTTGCTTAAAAACCCATAGAACGGAAAGGCAACTGAATGTTTAAAGGAAAATGCTTTAAGATTAAACAGAGCTTTCTTCTGTTTGTCTTTAAATTAATTGTGCTTATATTTTATAAATGTGTAATTATATTAGTTCACTTGCTTACCTTTTGTTTCCCGGGTCCAGGAAGCTTATGTGTCCAAAGTCAACCCATTTGAAGTACTGCAAAGGGACAGAGTAGCAAATTAATAATGTTTAGTCTAAGCCTTATAAAGCGGCGCCTAAAATCCAAACAAGCGCTCAACGAACTTTGTTTGTTATGCCAATTGGTCGCCCCTCTTATCTACAAAGCCCAATCCCAAGTAATTTTCAGCTAGAAGTTGACCATCCAGCCGATGTTTATGCAAAATATTTATGAAGAAGACTTTGCGCACGCGCAATTGTTTCTTTTTAATTGTTTGTTTTTCGTTCATAAAGATTGCTCAATTTAAGATGAAATGTGAGTAGCCTAATTGATTGGTGGTCCCATGTTGCTGACGTCTTGTTAAATGAGGCTGGCGACACTTGAATTGGAGCACAGGCCATTTAACGACGAGATGTCTTGTGATACCAGAGCTTTGTTGTTGCGATGCGCACTACAAAGAAGTATCTAGAGCAATTGCTTTGTATCTGGACAATCAGGTGAGAGTGTTGCCAAAACTAAAACAAGTTGCGAATTTTAAGTAAATTTAGCCAGAGTCAGTTACATTAGCTAAGAGGTTTAAACAAGTTGTGAATTACAAACGAATTGCGAGAGTGAGCCAAAACTAGCTAGAATCTAGCCAAAACTAGCTGCATTACTTAAGAGCAACTTGTGAATAACCAAAGAATTGTTCGAGCAAAAGTAGGTTAAGTTAGTGTAGAGAATTCCATGAGCCTTACGCTAAAACAACTTGGGAATTATAAACAAATTTTTAAGACGCTTAAAAGCTGCCCATGCACATGATTCATGTTAAGCTCTAACTAGATAGAATTTAAAAATTCAATGCATGAGTTCTCAGTAACTGTCAGGGTATTATCAGCTGACCAGCTTTATTAATATGCCGCTTATGAACTCGTTCTGAATTAATGAACGTCGCTCGACACTTCATTTAATTCGCTAGAAATCATTAACAATCTGATTAGTGAGCAATTGAGAAGCCTAACTTGAAGCATTTAATAACTGTTTTGTTATTTCAATTACAAAATCAAGTGGTATTTTATTTTAAGCCATAACCAATTTGTTGGGGGACTTTCACCGAACCATGAGACTGTACTTTGTGCCTTGCCTTGCAATATGAAATTGAATTCATTTCATCGTTTCACTTGTGAAAATAAACATTAAGTGAAAAGCAGCTGCAGCTCGTGAAAAGCTTTACATTTGTTTATATACCTTTATGAAACTCAAATTGACTCGAAAGATATATCTAGTCCGAAGAGCCTCAAGGCTGGAAGAGGCTGTCAATCATTGAGCTGTTCACGAGCTGCCAATTGTCTGACAAACTACGCAAATTTCAGCGTGATACGCGTGTTACCCCCTCCTCTTTCTTTTAATTTGCCAATGACGTCAATAACTAAGAGTTGTATAAGCCAAAAAAAACAAACTGTGTTTTTGAAATGGAGCCCAGTTAGGCCTCATAATACGCGTCAAACATTTGACGTCTTTTTGCAGCCATCTGCAGCCTAATTCACTTTTATTAACGTTATCATCTTTTGTTTGTGCAGCACACACACACTTGGCTTTTTGCCTAGTTGTGAGCAGCGTACTTGGCTGATTTATGGAGTTCAAACTTAACAACCCAAACTGAGCGCTACTGCACTAGATAGTATTATTAATTATCATAACTGTACACATTTGCTGTTGCTGTTGTTTTTGTTTTCAAAGCTAATCAATCAACTAAGTTGGAGCGTAAATAATTGACTTAGTCGATAGCAAAGTGTGTGCACATCAACTTTCGCTCTAAATATGTCAAAACGAAGTTCCATTGTTGCCAAGTCCATTTATGCTGATTAGATTTGCCACATTGTGGAAATTTTTCAGATATGTTGTCAGTCTGGCCACACTTAAGCAAAGAATTTCAGACAAGCCATAGTATAACTACGCCTTTAGCCAGAAATTTCCTAAGATAAACAATATCTATTCGCATGATTTATGCGGCTAGCCTTTGTGCTAACTGTACCCATTAGCGGTATATTTTAATTATTAGGCGTTAGGCGAATCGATCTACAAATCACAATATATGCGCGTTCATAATGCCTTTTGCACTGATAAACAGCAATAAATTAAATACGTATGAGCATAAAAAAAATACTAAATTAATACACACCCAAAATGTTTCAACAATAAACATTTATGGGCTAGCAAATAAGTTAAGGCAATTAATATAGACAGAACAACAACAAAATTAACATGCCCACCTAGTACTGGCAATATATTTGCAATATCTGTGCCATAAGTATATCGAAAAAAACTGAACAACACATGTGGCCAGGCTTCGACATATAACCGGGAAGTATTACGTAGCACATTTTGTGTCAGACACGTGAGACAGTCGGGCAGGGCAGGCAGATATCTTCTAGAAACGGGACATACATAAGCGACAGATATATTCTAGAAACGGGTCTCATAAATAATTCAATAAGCCCGCATTTATTCACTTGGCAACAGTTGTACCCAAAAAAAAAATAGCTAGAAAGTAGGGTCATATTCGGCACGCCGAAGATCTAATACCCTTGTTGACATTTGCCTTTTACAGATATGTGAGAATAGAAGCTGAGTTTGAAAAAAATATCTTAGAAAACAGCAGATTGAGCCAAACAAGAAGCCAGCATTCGACCGATCGTGCCTATGGCAGCTATATAATAGAGTGCTCCGATTCGATCGATTCCCAGACATGGACCTGCATCTTGAAGCTGATCGAGATTATCTGTAGATCTATACTCTATGGAGTTCGGTGATGACTTCTTCTGAGCGTTACACATTTCGTGACAAAACTATAATGCCCTACATAACAGCCCAATACCCTACACATAATACCCTGCACAGGGTAATAAAAAAAAGAACTCAACCTGTCGCCGATGTGGGAACCTCAATTTATGCTGAATGAAAAAAGAGCCAAGCTAGCAAAAACTCTTCAAATATGCAAATTTATGTGGCATATTGTAATACAAGCAACTATTCGTATTCGTGTGCTCGATCGATTGCGATCACAGCAATACGATCCATTAAAGAAGAAAATGCTTAGCTGGGGCCGCTGCCACGCGTCGTCAGAACTGACTTGAAAAGCTGACTGAATGTAATTAAAAACTTGATTGCAGGATCAGCTATTATATCACAAACATAATTGTGGCTATTGTTTAGTCGAAAGTCCAGACGTCGCGACGTCTGTGTCGCGCTGCACGTGGCAAAACTTGCAACTACTGAGTTTGGCAGCTATGCGGAATGCATTCCGGAATGCATTCTGGGAACGCATACAGTCGCGTGATCGCCGTCTGTATTTATATGGGATGCTATTGAAACACGCAATTCACAGCTGAATAATCGCATATATGAAATATTATTAGAGCTCATCAGCTGATGGGAATTAATGAAACGCCAATCAGCTTTATGACGGGCCGTGGGCTGGGAAAACGTTCATTAAGTACGGCGAAAATTTTGTGAAAGAAAGATTATTGCTATTACAAAATTAAATTAAAATTACATTGCCGTTTACCTTTCATGTATATACTATATATATATATAACTATTACATAAGCCATTGCATTGTAATCTATTCGATAAGAGAATCAGTTCCGAAATCTTCCTTAGTATTTATTCTATTTCAAATGCAAATGCTGTTTTTTTTTTCTTTCGTGCCAGTTCTCTACCTTCTTATATAGCACATATACTATATAGACTAGTCCATTTATAACCTTCACATAAGCCCTCAGCAGATCGTTGGATTTCTCCGATTTTAGTTAGCCAGCTCAGTTCATTTACCTTTATGTGAAAAAGCTGGCCACATATCTTTCAGATACACTCAGCTGTGGTCCACAAAATCTTTGACAACTCAAACGTGATCGCCAGGCATAACGCGTATCTTAAAGATAAAATTCGCGTTTACGTCAATGCTGCTGGCCGCAAAAGCAAATTTCTCTTGCTGTTCTGTTTTTAGTTGTTTTTTTTTTTGAAAATGCAAACAATTTGTATCTTAGCGCGCCACTCAACGATCTCGTCCGATTGCCTTGACGTTTCCACCGAAACTGCCAGCGTTCAGTTTTTTTTTTTTTTTTTGGCGAGCGGAAAATTCGACCGATCTCCGTTTCTGCGATTTGTCGAAAAACCCGAAAATGTTCAGCGCATGGCCAGAGCACTCAGTGTGTGTTCTATTGAACTTGACCGCTTCGATTGGCCCTCAAACGAGATCCTCCAATCAAGAGCTGTCACAAGTCACAACGCGCACCGAGCACGTGACCAGAGCGAGAACTCTGAGCTCAGTATAATGCAGTGCGAGAGTATTTATGACAAACTAGGTTGTCATACAAAGGTTGTCATATTTTGCATTAATCAGCTGTGACTTAGCACGAGGCTAAAACACGAACGTGACCATGTTCATGCTACAGCACATTTTGCAGTTGCATAGCCCCCAACCCAAAAAGATTATGAGCTGAGAATATTTAAGTGATATTCGTCTTAAAAAGTATTTCAATATAATTCAAAACTGTGTTAAATTTAGGCTGTTAAATTGTTTGGTCAAGTGTTTCAAAACGGTTTGTGCAGCAAAAGTGTTGAACAATTCATTTTAGAGCAAGTTTCAAGCCCATGCAAATAATTTTGAATAGTTTTGCAACACTTTTTTTTTAGTATTCACATTGCAAAAGGTCGAGTGTTTCCAAACGATTTATGCAGCAAAAGTGTTGAACAATTAATTTTAGAGCAAGTTTCAAGCCCATGCAAATAATTTTTAATAGTTTTACAACACTTTTTTTTATAATATTCACATTGCAAAAGTAGCTTGGCTGTGTTTTTTAAAAGGTTTACAAATTGATTAAGCGACTCGAAATCGAGATTTGGCAAATTAGGGTTTGTTTGGAAAACTAGTTGAAACCCTGGACAAACCCAATTTGAAACCGGTTCGCCATGGCTTGGCAAATGGCGACGTGATGCGTCTATTCAAAGCATTAGGGCAAATTAGAGAAAATATAATAGAGCTGACACGACTATCAAGATTCGCGTTGATTATTTACATTTAATTATGCACAGCGTCATTCAGCATCATTTCCATATAAATACGCCGGCAATTGACTTTGAATACGTTCGAATTTAATGCGCTTTTCCGCATAGTTGGAAAATTGGCATTCAGTTGAGTGCGCCGCAAAGGCGACTTATTGTTTGCAACAAATTTCCCATCATAATTAACAATTTCTTTGGCCGACTCTTGGGTTCAATTAATTGACTTGGCATTTCCTGCCGCCTTTAATTAAGCTCTGGGCTTGCCAATTAATTGCCTGGCATTTATTTAACTAGAAATGACAAGTATATAAAATACACTCGATATGATAGATGTCTGCTCAATTAACTGACAATTGTCGTTCAATATCAAAGTGGTTTCCCATGGCCGTGGTTCAACCGCATGCAGCAGGACAAGAACCTCAAGGATTTTGACCTCATTCGTCTGTGTGTATCTGTGAGATACAATAGCTGCCCGATCGCTTGCTTCTCTGTCTGGCTGTCTGGCTGTCTGGCTGTCTTCCTGCCTGTCTGGCAAAGGCAGCCTGGCAACTTCTGCGCAGAGACCTGCCCCCGTCCGCATGTTTTAGAAGCTATTGTTGGGCCTCTCTCTACCTAATCCCCTCTCTCTCGCTCTCTCGCTCTCTGTGTCTCTGGCGTTGACCCCTCTTGCCGCTGTTCGTGCTGCGGCTTGATGTTGGCCTTTTATTTGTTTTTCTTTGATCACAGGCGAACTACAACAACTGAGAATCTTGAGATCTTGAGGTATTCGCCACTTGAACTCTCTGTTGCCAGGCGGCGGCGGCTTTTTGCCTTCAACTCGAGGTAATTTAAAACGTTCAATTTTTTTAGGTTCTCTCTTTTTGCCGTTGGGTATTCTAGGCCATTGGCTTTTGGGGCACAGCTTAACGTACACTCTTGCTGAATACAAAAAATATATATATATATTAACTAAAACTAAATTTTACTTGAGTTTTACCCCGAATTTCTGTGTTCCATTGTGCTCAGATATCACTTGGCTATCGATTTGCTGTGCATCAATGCTGGAGCTGTTCTTCGCAGCTTCAACGCGAAATCTTAACTAAATGGAAAGCTCCTTAAGTCTTGTTTTCCAGCATCCAGATGCCCTATAAAATCTTATCAGCTCATGGCGCGCAAACAAGATTCGCATAACAACAACAATAACTGTAAACAGCTGTCTGCGTAAATACTTCATTTATTTTTGGATGCCCTCTGGGGTTTTTATTTTCCCCCTCCATAGGTAACATCACATGGCTGCCGCTTTGCATACATAACATATTTGCCAAAGATAAGGCCCGGATGCATCTGTCTGATCTGTCTGTCGGGTGGGTGACACATGTCAACGCACACACACACACACACACACACTCAGGCCCAGCCAAGCAACTCATGTGACCCTATTCAGATGTCCCCACCTGTTGACAGAGGCAAACAAACACCTGAAGGTCTATCGATGAGACAGTCATCGCGCACCTTTATCAGAGAGTTCCGGTTGCGGATTCCAATAGACTTCGGGCACTTGGCCAATTATGGCCAACAGTTAATTGCACCTGACTCAGCCTGGCTTCCCTCTGCCGTCTTATCAGCCTAGTGCAATTGCCAAAAAATAGAGAACCTATCGGGCAAATATAATTAAAATAGGTTTCCCGTAGCGCCTTGATAAGAATGCGCAAGCTTATCGTAGAAAACTCTAGATGCCGCAGGCTAAAGTAAGAACTGGAAAAACAACCCCCGTAAAAGCTGGTCAAGTCAGCCCATTGATGTACTCCACAAATCCCAGCTACGGCAATTTGCGTGTTTTGCATTTGCCGACGGGGACAACAATATAAAGATTTGAAAAGAGTGCGAATTATATATGAAAATATTGAGCTGATTTCAGACTGCGTAATATAGGCTATATAGTATGAAGTGTGCCGGGGTTTTTCCCCCTGCTATTAATTCCCAATTCCCCAGACGAGTTCAATATTTATTTAAACGAAATACACGTGTTGACAAGCCCCCGCCTCACCCCCCTGGCTTTGCAATACTTAAGGTATTTAGAGTAGGTATTCTTAGTTAACTTTAGATACTACTTATAGGTCACAGCATGTGTGGAAGGGTGGAGGGTGGGGTGTGGAACGACAACTTACCGGAAAATTTGTATGGCTGGTGATTCACGCAAAGTTTGCGCTGTTGTTAATTAGAAATTTGTACGATGGATCGTGATTGATGCAAAATAATTTATTATGTTTTTGCTAAACAAAAAAAACGCCAACTTTTTGTACACTTTTTGTTTTAACACGAAACTGTTATATAGTCACACAACGGGCTCGTGTTAATTAACCATGAGGGGCTACATTGGAACCGCAATGGATGATTTAGCTTCTTGCTGTTGGCTCTTACAACTCTTCCGATATTGTGCTCAATGCTCTTTCAAATATATATGTATATACAGTATGTCAATAAAGTGTTTTTACTAACAAAAAAAAACTAATTTTTTGGGTTTAGTTGAAAATAAATGTACCTAAAAGTGAGAATTTTTTTTCAATTCTAATTTATTTCGATTCTATATTTTTCCTAGAACTTAATGGCAAAAAGAATTGTTAAATAACATTACCCAAACATTTTATAAAATTAAAAAACTAAAAACATTCAAATTTTATGCTGTCAATAAAGTGTTTTTACACGAAACTTTATTACTAAATAACAATGTTAAAAAAACAGGAATATTTTTTTTTAATACTTTGTGTGGCTGCCATTAGCGTCACATACAGCCTGCAATCGCCGTTTCATTGAAACAATAAGGTTTTGTATGTATGTTTCTGGAATCTTCTGCCATTCTTCCAGTACAGCAGCTTTTAAATCAGTTTTTGATTTTGGACTCCGCTTTGCGACTTTTTTTTTCAAATATGACCACACATTTTCTATTGGATTCATATCTGGACTTTGTGGTGGAGTGTCTAACACCTTTCCACAGTTGTACAACAGCCAAACTCTTACCATATGAGCTTTATGCTTCGGGTCATTGTCCTGGTAAAATTTAAAAATTGGCTTATTGTCCTCATAGAATCCAAATTTCTGTGCACTACTGACGAGATGTGTCTGTAAAATGCTCAGATATTGTCTAGCATCCATGGTATTCTCAATGAAGGTCAAATCTCCTACACCCTTGCTCGAAATACACCCCCACACCATCACTGATAGTTTTCCGAATTTAACGGTTGGAATAATATTGCGGTTTTCCAACGCTGTTAGTGGCTTTCTCCAGACTCGTGATGTGTAGTCATTGGAATTCAGTAATTTTCGGACAGTTTCATGTAACACATCAACACCACTTTCTTCCTTGAACTCCTGAGCAATATCCCTAAGCGAAATTTGTGGATTTTTCTCAATTTTTCTCAGAATTTTTCGCTTATCTCTGTCAGAAATTTTGCAGGGTCGACCACATACTGGCTTTGCCTCTAGCCTATCTTCCTTATTGGCTCTGTTTAATATGTTGTATATCGTTGCTTTTGATAAATTAAACATATCAGCCAGTTCCGAGACTTGACGTCCCATCTGATGGTTATAATACACCAGCTGAGCGACTTCAAAAGTTGTTCTTTTTCCTGGCATTTTATTTTTCATAAAATTAAAGCAAAACGTTATAAATTGCAATAGAAAATGACAAGAAAAGTCGAAGACACAAGAGAAGCCAAAACGCATGGGCCCAAATCTAACGGGATCACCCAAAAGAGAACGGCAAAACAATTTACCGTAGCTGTAAAAACACTTTATTGACAGCATAAAATGTGAATGTTTTTAGTTTTTTAATTTTATAAAATGTTTGGGTAATGTTATTTAACAATTCTTTTTGCCATTAAGTTCTAGGAGAAATATAGAATCGAAATAAATTATAATTGAAAAAAAATTCTCACTTTTAGGTACATTTATTTTCAACTAAACCCAAAAAATTAGTTTTTTTTTGTTAGTAAAAACACTTTATTGACATACTGTATGTATATAGTTTATTTAAGTATTTGCGACTGTTGCTATGCGTATACCAGAGTAACTAATTATGTGTTGTGTGCTATTTGTATTTGTACATATAAATGTACTCGTATTTGCGGAGAGCACGAAACGTGGCGTTTCTTTTGATATTATTTTATATATATGTATATATTTTTTTACTTTGTTGTTACACTCTTCTTTTATATATATTTATAGTTGGGACATTTGCACATTGCCATGAAATGGAAAGACACTAAAAACGATACACAATTTACGAATTCAAAAAAACACTCTATTCGATTTGTAGCTTGCGCTGCGAATGGACGGCCACGTTTAACGATCAGCGTCAACGAATTTCAACTGAGCACGCAACTCGCAGGCCCAGTCCCGGCACAAAGCCAACCACCGCCAGATCTCGAGCGCAGTCCAACTCAACGGTTGTACAGCCAGCCCACTCGCTGAGAGGCGGGCGAGAGCAACGGTACACTCAATAGCACTCGACTACAGGGTTGCAGTTCGTTTTGGGAGGCATGAAGCAACAGAAACATACAAGCTTCTCTTAATTTCGAACTAAATCTAAACTAGACTGCTGGTCTGAGGATCGCATGGGAAAAATGTAAAATGATAATAAATTAAAAGTAAGTTTAAAAAAAAGGCTATTTTTATTTCATTATTTTCCATAAATTTAATAGTTAACAAATTGAATTGAATGTATTTTTGACATATTTTGATTTCGATTCTTAAATTTACAATCCATTTTTAATTCAAACTCTTAAATAACTCGAATTTCAAATACAGCTACGCATTGTAACTTGTTTATGTTGTGCTGTGTAAATTGCGCTCTCCTTACGCTCAATCTGCTCCCCATTGAGCAGCATGTTCGACTCAAACCCTGTACCGCTACAAGACTCGATCGTTGGACGGTCATTGTCATAGCGACAGGGAGCTGCTCTCCCGGTTGCACAGCTTCCAATTCACTTAATATACAAATGTGTTATATGTAAATTGAACTGTTATTCGTGACGTCAGAGCACACGCTGATAACACACTTGACACAAAGAGAATGAAAGAGAGAGAGAGAGAGAGAAGCAAATTGAGTGAAACTCCCATGTGTACGCCCCCTTGATTTGGCGACACCGAACACAAAATATAATTCCCCCAATCCCCGAAGTGTGCAAATAGAACAAGCCCCGATAATATAGTTTGGTGAATGCTTTAGATAAACTTAGCTAAAATGTGTAATAGTAAAAGTACAGTTGACGGACGTTATCAGCTCAGGTACAGGTAGACACACACGCCCATTTACCTGAATTAGGAAATGCAAACATCTACGATGAGCCATGCAATACGAAAATAGCATTAGGATTCATTAAGTTTTAGTACTGGAAGTTGTATAACAATTCGCAAAGTATGTAATTATTTATCACGCCTTGCTCTTTTCACATGTGCTGCTTTCCGCGTTACTTAAATTAAATTTGCAAAAAATTACATGTTTTAATTATGACAACATATCCGTATCAAGCGAAGCGTTTTTATTTTCGGTTTTTTGTTTAAACATATTGTTTTGCAATATCTCCCACAATATACATATAAATAATACGAAAACTTTCAAATACATACAAACAAGTTCCAATTCTTTTTAGTATATTATCTTAGATGCAGGTATAGACAGACGGTGCTCAACTGGTTCCATAGTGTAGCGGTTATCACGTCTGCTTTACACGCAGAAGGTCTCCGGTTCGATCCCGGATGGAACCAAGTGGCTTTACTTTTGGAAAAAATCTATTTTTATATGCTTTAGGATAATTGAATAGAATATGTTGTCATTAAAATAGTTAGTTTCTAATATTATGAAACATGTGCGTCTGTATATGTGGCTACTAGTTTATTTTTATATATTTTAGCTTTACTAACATAAATATGTTTTTCATTTCGAAAGCGTCTATAAATACCATATTTTGTCCATTTGGAGAGCGTCTATAGTTAAAATCGAAATCAAAACAAAAAAGTTATACGCCATGGTTCCATCCGGGGTCGAACCGGAGACCTTCTGCGTGTAAAGCAGACGTGATAACCGCTACACTATGGAACCAGCTGTTCTATTTCGTGCTAAACTTCAGTTTTGTTACGCAATTCAAACGGACCAAATTTCTTAGCGCACTTCAAAGCGCTCTCAGTTGGGAATTTTTAGTCATTCAACAACAACAACAACAACAACAAGAAAAGAGGAAAAAATTTATAAATACGATTATTGTTTGCTAAATAATTTTATTTAAAAAGCGAAAAGCACGTATTTGTATTTGTCTTATGCAACCGGCAGCTATTTGTAAAATGTAATGCTTAGTGAGATACAATAAATTAAAGTGTAAAACTAAAAGTAGACGTAAACATATTGCACCACGGTTCAACCTAAATGTATAATTCGTAACTATTGCAGACACCTATTAAATAAATTAACAACAAATTAAATAATAATACAGTTAAGAGCCGAATTTCGCTGAGCAAAGGAATTTCAAGCCGTAAAATAGCAAAAGCAATAACAACAAAAACCAAAACTGCGCCCGCAATCCCAGATATTGGACCGGCACAAGGACTAGAGATTGATGGCTTCAGTAGCGACGCGCCGTTGTAGGTCGCGGCACGCCCGAGGTGCGTGGACGCGCCGACGCGGCGCCCATGGAATTGGAGACACCGTCCGTATTGTAGCTGAGATACACATGCGACAGATCCACAAATTCGGGCTCCTTGCCGCCGCTTTTGTGCTCGATGTGCTTGCGCATATTGTTCCCGGTGTAGGCAACGCACTTTAGCTGCCACTCGCCGATGTCCTCGTTCCAGTGTGTATACTGGTTGATCATGGACTGATACTCCTTGGGCACGTACGAGTTGAGCACCAGCTCGCAGAGAGCCAGCTCCCGTGAGAGGCTGCGTATGTTCTCGTAGATGCCCTCCTTTTCGCGCTGATGCTCTTGCTGCTGATCGGCCAGCTCCGATTTGACGCCCATCAGCATCTGCATGACGCGATGGATCTTCTTGGTGATGCCCGTGCTGGCATCCTGCAGCGTGGAGTAGCGCTCCTCGATGTCGATGCGTTCGGTCGCCTTTTGCTGAAGCGTTTGCCGCAGCGCCTGTTCGGTTTTTTCGCGCTCCTCCAGCTCCGCAATGGACTGCTCCAGTAGCTTCTCCTGGGTTTGCGCTTTCTCCAGCAGATTCTCGCCACCCACCAGAATTTTGCCCTCCAGCGAGAAGAGCTTGTTGCGCAGCAGCTCCTGTTCCGTTCGGGCATGCTCAATCTCGCGCAGATGCTGGCTCTTGCGCATGGCCAGCTCCTCCTTCTCCTCGTCCGTTTTCTCTCGCTTCTTGCGAATCTTCTTGCCGCTGGGACTGACAGCGCCTGAAGCACACGCCGACTCCAGCTCAATTTCTAGCGGCTCTTCAAGCTCATCGTCACAGGTGTCGTCTTCCTCGTCCTCGTCATCGCCCTCGCCCTCACCGCTGGCGAGCAGCTCGTCCTCGAAGCTGCCCTCCTCGAGCTGCTTGCGCAACCGCGCAATTTCCTCCTGGAAATGCCGCAGCAACGCATCCTTCGGCTCCTCGTTGATGTGCATGCGATTCTGTATGTTCTTGGCGCGACTCGCATAGCGCAGCGTTGAGATTGTTTCCATATAATTGCAGTCCGCTGGGCTGATGGTCGCGCACATGACCGTCTTCGAGTTGCCGCCCAGCGAGTCCTGCAGCAGACGCGTCAGCTTCGAGTTGCGATAGGGAATGTGCGTGCTCTTGCCATCTACCAAGGCGCTGATAACGTTGCCCAGCACCGAGAGCGACAGATTGATTTTGGTGGCCTCCTTGAGGCGCTGTCCGCTCGCCTGTGTCTTGGACTGACGCTCCGAGCCGGCCAAATCCACCAGCTGCAGCTTGCCCATGCGAACATGCTGCATGCCGCCCTCGACCAGTTCGCTGCTCTCCACGGTGATCGAGAAGATGGCGTGCGAGCGCGAGGATTCCTGGTTCATTTTCGTGGCGCCAACGGCTCGATTCTTATTGCCCAGTCGCATGATATTCTCCAGATCGTCCGCATTGTGCACCACATAGCCGCTGAGATCCTTGACAAAGACGCCAATGTCCGGCCGCTCCTTGACCTCGAGGCTTTTGCTCACGTCCTTGCCGAGCAGATCGCGCACCTCCTCGTTGTAAATCTCCATATAGCTAACACGCACCAGAAACTTTTGATTCTCCTGCGCCTTGGCGATGTGCCCAAAGATGTGCGCGAATGCATTCGGAATGATGCCCTTCGTCTGCGGAGAGTCCGGATTGCCAGACATGGTGTATGTCTTGCCGGTGCCCGTCTGGCCGTACGCCAATATGGTGCCATTATAGCCCTCCAGCACCTTGTCCACAATGGGACGCGCCGTGTCCACATACAAATCCAGCTGATTGGAGCCACCGTCAAAGACATTGTCAAAGTAATATGTTTTGGGCGGCTCGTTGGCGGTGGCATTCGGCTTGATAACGGTAATGGCGCGGTTGATCTTATCCACCTGAATGGCGCTAAGTGCTCCAATGGACTCCTCATTTGTGTCCATGGGCCTGGAACGGACCACAACGCGAACATTTTCGATTTCGTCATCGAGCTTCTGCGACGATGTCGCCGTTGCCTGCTCCTGCGGCATATTTGGACTTTAACTGTTGACGGTTAACAACAATTCAAAACGTTTGCCTCAATACGCACTTTTGTTTAACGAATGAAAAGTGGTTTATTTCGCATTTGTTTATGCACCCGTTGCTATGATTCGTCTGCCAATAATAAATTTTGCAAATTGTTGTCAGTGTGGCCGCAGTTCGTGAGGCTGTGTGGAGTGAGCTCTGTTAGATGCGGGGGCGTGCTGTTGTTTGGTGTACATAATGTTAAATGTGGAGTCGCCTCTGTTAAATATAAGCAAATTGAGGTGACTGAACTGAGTCACAAAATGTGCGTAAGACCAACTATTCGCTATGTTAAGTGTGGAGCGGACGCTGTTATGTGAGGAGCAAGCACTGTTAAGTGCGTGGGTGTGCACTCGGTGGAGCAAATTCTGTTTACCTGAGGAGTAACGTTTGTTAAGTGCGACGACTGAAAAACAGCGAGTAAACATCTGCCAGCGAGAAGCGAGCGACCCACTAGCAGTGGAATAGATAGATTCGCGCTGCCCTTTAAGTTTCCTTACACGACCAGACGCAGAAAATTTAACTCCGGCCAGCATGGCAGCGACATTGCGAAGATTCAATGGCTTCAGATTGCTAAAATCTACGCCAGCACTGAATCTGCAACAGGTAAATCCCCGCCGCCCTCAATCATCATACGCGAAAATTTTCCCCAACAACTCCCAGCGTTTCCAATCATTACAACATTAATTTTGCCCATAATGATCATGTTTAAGTGAATATACGTTAAATGCCCCAAAAACTGTGCATCATCTGTGATGATTTAACTGGTATTAGCCCAAGTGCAGCTGTAGATTACACCCGACCCACAATTATGTAACTCCGTGCAAAAATCATACGTGCAGTTTTTTGCTGGGCTAGAAAACCTAATCAATTACCGTTTGCTTGCAGGCCAAGAACCTGTCCACGGCTTCGAGCTGGGCAAACAGCAACAAAAAGGTAAGTACCAAGTCACCAAATTGGACACCGAGCATTTCATAATAGCCGAGCGGACCTAACCTCAAAACGCGTTTACTTTTCTTTCGCCCAACGCTCGACGCTTGTTGTTGTGTGCGTGTCGCGAACAGCTGATCAGTGCCATCGGTGCTGTTACCGGCGGCGTTGGTGCTCTACTGTTTGCCCTGGAGCAATCCGTGGATGCTAACAGCGGTGAGGTGCATTCGCCCGCCCAGCCCTGGAACCACAAGGGTCTCTTCTCCTCGCTGGATCATCAGAGGTGAGGTGATAGCTGCCCAAGCATTCCATTGTTATATATTCCATTCCGCAGCGTGCGTCGCGGCTACGAGGTGTACAAGCAGGTGTGCTCCGCCTGCCACTCGATGCAATACATTGCCTACCGCAATCTGGTTGGCGTCAGCCATACCGAAGCTGAGGCCAAGGCCGAGGCCGAGCAGATCACGGTGAGCCCAATTTGTTGCCACATTTGAATTTGTCTTTTGACCTGTGATTGATTGCAACTAGGTGAGAGACGGTCCCGATGATACTGGCAATTACTTCGATCGTCCCGGCAAGCTGTCGGACTACTTCCCATCGCCGTATCCCAATGAGGAGGCGGCGCGTGCTGCTAACAATGGTGCCTATCCACCGGATTTGAGCTACATCGTGTCGGCGCGCAAGGGCGGCGAGGATTACATCTTTTCGCTGTTGACCGGCTATCATGATCCGCCAGCTGGCGTAGTGCTGCGCGAGGGTCAGTACTTTAATCCGTACTTCCCGGGCGGTGCCATATCCATGGCCCAGGTCTTGTACAACGAGGTGGGCAAACATGCAGACAATTAAAGTCAGTTAAATTCCTTGACATTTTCGCTTATTTACCGACTAGGTGATTGAGTATGAGGATGGCACACCGCCAACGCAGAGCCAATTGGCCAAGGATGTGGCCACGTTCCTCAAGTGGACATCGGAGCCGGAGCACGACGATCGCAAACAGCTGCTGATCAAAGTGATTGCCATTCTCGGCTTCCTGACTGCCATCTCGTATTATATTAAACGGCACAAGTGGTCCTCGCTCAAGTCCCGAAAGATCGTCTTTGTGCCCAAGGAGAAGTAGACATGTGTTTAAATTTGATTTGGCGTGAAGAATTGCAGTGTTAACGCGGCTTTACCGACTAATGAAAATAAATCAATTTTAAGCATAAAACCCAGGAAATGTTCGTTCACACACACACACAAAATTCAATTAATAGAAATAACAGCTAATAACAAATAACATGCCAGAACAGGAAAAACCAAAATGCCTAGTATAAACGAGGATGCACGAAGATCAATGGCCAAGAATAACATCAGGAAAACGGGGAGTTCAACTAAAGCAAAGAGCCTAGACAAAATGAATCATGGATACTATTACATGTATTGTGTATAAATCTTAAATTCAAATTATGTATTTAAATAAACAATTGAAAAGAAAAACCCGAAAGCGATTCGTTACATTTTCCATTAAGATTCGTGACTCTTGGACTTGATTGAGAAGAGATATAAAAGAACGAAAAACAAACAAAAATCATTAATAATTCTCTGGTGGATCAGTCGACATTGGTTCAAAGTTCGCTATAAGATTTCGGGTTCTATAAAAATTGTTCCAAATTCTATTTAAACCTATTACGACTGATGCGCACTCAAAACGCATTTTGGCTTTTCTTTTTATTGGATTATTAATTGTTTTATTTAGAAGCTTAAATTAAAATATTATTTTAATCATTTTTTTTTCATCGTTCTGCCCGTTCGACTACTGCATCAGTTTAGTGTGTGTGTGTGTGTGTGTGTATGTGTGTGTATAATTGTTTATATATTTACCGCAATTTTCAAGGATTATAAATCGTGTCTCACATCCCATGTAGAAGAAGGAAAACTAATTTAATTGTTACAATTGCCTCGGTTCGGTTCATGTTTTAGTTTTCTTTTTTTCTCGTTTTTTTTTTTGTTTTTACTACAAAAAATTCGCTTAAATTTGTATATATATATATATAATTAATAAATTTTTTAGTTATGCAAAACAATAATTACGATTCAACTTCTTCGCTGCAACGAAAACAGAACTCGCTTCATTTTTTATCTTATAATGTGGTTTTAAGTTTACGAATTTGCGTTTCTTTTGTTGTTGTTCTTGTTGTTTGTTTTGTAAATTGCGTGAGTAAAATTATAAATGTATCTTTTTGCATGGTGTAGCGTATGTGTGTGTGTATTTTGTTTTTTACTTAATCATTCTTTACTTGAGTTTTTATTTGTTTTATTTCTTAGCTAAGAATGTGGGTAACCAAACGTGATGACATTCGTACGACGCTCGATGACGGAAGGGACGACGACCATTTATATTAGTGACGTTTGCTGTGGCTGTTCTTCTGCTTCTGCTTCTTGTTCCTCTTCTTCTTCTTGTTGCTGTTGTTGTTGTTGCTGTTGTTGTTTACACTTATAGTATATTTTGCTTTAGTTCTTGTTGCTGCTGAGCACACACACACACATTCAAGAAGTACAACAACAACAACAACAATGCAGCTCCTTGACTCCTCCAACTGCTTCTTCTGTAAACCTCTCCATTCGCTCTGACATTACCACACACAACTCTCGAGGATTGAGGCGTCTTACCATGGCGGGCACGCGCTCTATCTCTACCACACGCTCCCACATTCAGTTGGATGTCGGTTGTGTGGTTGTTGTTGTTGCTGTTGCAGTTGTGTGTGATATAGTTGTGTTGCTGCTGCTGCTGTTGTTGTTGCTGTTGTGGTTGTAGGTTGTTGTTGCTGTTGTTGTTGCCGACTAAAAACAGCTACCTTCTGGCGGTTGTGCCAATTTCAAGTTCTCTTTCATGGTCATAATTCTACGTATTTCCTGAAGCATCGTTTTAATGGTGTACTCGCGACTCCATCTGGACAACATGGGCACTGATCTATGATCAACCTATATCGAACAATTAGCATTTTGAATCATTTATGAAATTTCGATATGATTGTTATACTCACCACGCCATTATTCTGATTAATGCAATTAATATTAACTTTTGTTAAAAATCTGAGCGTTGGTGGCTCATCCGGATAGCGTTCGCCGCACTCAATCTTTAGAGAATACATTCGATTCTCGAATGGTGTCTGGAAAAAAGAACGAGTCATATGAATAAGTGAATTAGAAGTGTGCATTTAATGGGCTGTCGATTATACAAACATGCACTTCTCTATCTCTTCTCTATTGCCACCTTGCCCCTCTCAGACGGCACTAACAACAATTGCCCGGACAGGCTCTCACACACACTCGATGATGACTCAGCGGGCGCTGCCGGTGCAGCTAACCATGGTGAATATACATGATTCATGTGGCGTGCACAACATTCCGCCACACTGCAATGCTTTATTATTGCTTATTCATATAACTAAATCCATCAATTTCAACTCGAGTTTTGTATAATTTAAAGTTCTGCGCTGCCATTTAAAAGATTATTTGCCGTACAGGCTTATCTCTTAAATTGTTATCAACATTTCAAAATGTATGTGCTGTTAATCTAATTTATATAACAAAATTGGAACGCGGCAACAAATCTAGTTAATATCGTTCTATGCCAACTGTTTCATTTCCCATTTCGTACCATAATATATGGCCCAATTTCACTCGTTCCTATCATTTGCTTGATCTTTCTGTTAGGTTCTAATTAGAATGGAACAAGTATTCCAACTCTGGAGCACAATATCGTTGATAAGGCTGGAAAAAGTTCCCTTTTGACTTCAGCATTTCTTTCAACTATTTCATTTGTTTACTGCCTAAATAAACATGTTTGTCTGTTTGTCTGTCCATAAATCCAATTCCAATTCTGTATAATTCACACCCGTTTGTCTGTGCTGAATTTTGGGTTTACGCAATCGATTAGATACAATATCTATGATCCCAGCATTGATAAGGTTTGCGGCTCATTTAAATGACGTACTAGATGGATGGTATGACGCGGAGTGGTGAGGTCAACTTACTCTAGGGGGGCCAATGATCATGCCAATCCAATAGGTGAGTGTCATATCATCGTCGTTCTCTAGACCCCACGAAATGGTGCCATCGCCCACGCCTTTCTGGCCCTGATCCAGCTCCTCCAGAAGGCGAAAATTTCGTGGCACCACTGAAACGAGAAAATTAGGCAACTATAAATTTCCATTTAACTCGTGTCGAGGGTTTTAAACACTTTGTTTGGAGGAGGGGGAAGGGAGAAGTGGGAGGGGGGCACGGGGGGCGGCTAATACACTGGCCGAAGGCTGTAATTAAGACATAAAGCGTGTTTGGCGCGGGGTCATGTGGTTGTTGTTAGACGTTCTCTTCGCACTCTTCTTCCACCTCATATTGCCATTGTTGTTGTTGTTATTGTTATTGGCCGTGTGTCTTGCGTTGTTTTTCCTTCGCTCGTGCGGCTGCTTTGCACGCATTTTCGTATGCTCCAAGTGGAAAAAAAAAAATTAATACGGATACCGGACGAAGGGTGTGGTATCAGTTAGAGTTTGGTTAGTTTAGTTGGTTGCCTGGTTAGCTCTAGTTGTCGTTGGCCCCGCCACCAGCCCCTCCCCCAACACGCACACACCAGGCATAATTTTTATGCAAGCGCTGAAGATATATGCGCAAAGTGAATTTGCAGCAGAAGCGGCCAACTAATTTAATTAGAAATTAAAGAAGCACTTTGGCTAGCAGCAAAGGCAAAGAGCATAAAACCAAGTGGCTGAGCAAACGAGCAAAAAACACACACACACAATTGAAAGGGACACATTCAACGGCCAAGGGGGGGAGGAGGTGTGTGTGTTTGTGTGTGTGTGGGGTGCAGGCCCCACCGAAATTGTCAAGTCACGAAGAAAAATTGCTGCATAGCGACTTTCAGCTGCAACAGACAGACACAACGCCGTGGCTGGCTACTTGTTTTTCAATATGATTTAATATTCTCGCGTTTTATTGGTAGTTTTTATTTTTTTTTTGTATTTTTGCCATTTGCTTTCTTTTCCATTTTCACAGAGAGCAGCGGGGCAGTGGCAGCGCTGCGGCAGCGGGCCGTCATCGTTCAATAAAAAATCGTTTTGCGCATACGTTTTATGCTACACTTTCGCACATTTCGCTGGCCAAATATGGCCCACACATTGGCAGTGCTCGCGGGCACGTGCTTTTCAATCAAATTCCTTGCCAAATTGTTAATTTTACAAATTAAATTCTTACCAACGCCGGTACTAGATGTATGCGCCATTGTGGTTTATCCTAGAGTGTGTGTGTGTTTTGGCTTATTTTAGCGCATTCTTTGCGAGCACACTTAAGTATGGTGTTAATTAGGACATTTTGTTTTGACAGCGTTGCCAGACCATAAAGTTAGGCAGGTGACACGAATAGTCGATTACCGATAAGCCGATACGATAACAACACACCTAGGCAATTGGACTAATTTGCAACGCGTCAGCTATTTGAAACGAATTAATTTTACGTGTTAATTTACCTTACTGATAAACGCTTTCATCGCATGCTGCTTGCACTGCGCGTGCACTGAAGATCACCGACAATGGAAACACTGTACCATCAAACCAACAGCACTGTCAAGGAAATCGAGCAATGTTTTCAGCGATTAGGCCAGGTTGCACCGCAGGAAGCGCTTGACGTGGAGAACACGATACAAGTGAAAATCACCCAGGCCAATTCGTGAGTCAGCCCGACCCACCCGCTTTCCAACAGCTGGTTAAATTTCACAACTTTCACAGCAACTGCGATAGACTCGATGTGCTGCTATTCAAGGTGCCACCATCGCAACGGCAGAGCTCCAAGCTGCGCATAGATCAGCTGAAGTACGACTTGAGGCATTTGCAAACATCGCTGCAGCACGCGCGTGATCGTCGCCAGCGTCGTCAGCAGGAGATCAGCGAGCGGGAGCAGCTGCTAAACCATCGTTTTGCGGCAAATAGCACCTCGCCGTCGGAGACGTGCCTGCAACTGGACTATGAGCTGCAACATCACACACAGATGGGCAATGCCCATCGGGGTGTGGACGACATGATTGCCTCTGGCAGCGGCATACTGGAAAGTCTCATATCACAGCGCATGACACTGGGTGGTGCCCACAAGCGTATACAGGCCATTGGCAGCACACTCGGGTTGTCCAATCACACAATGAAGTTGATAGAAAGAAGGTTGGTTGAGGATCGGCGCATCTTTTTGGGCGGCATGGTGGTCACAATGCTAATAATTGGTCTGATAATATATTTTTTAGTGCTGTAGTAAAACGCTTATATCTTGCACGAGTTTTAAATTAAATGTACTCTATTTAGGTGAAAACCATTCACTTCCTTTGTTCTGAACAAGCCGTCGACTTAGTCGTCGTTTTCCAGGGAGATGTTGCTGCCGAAACGCTGGTACAGATGTGCTTTCAGCTCGTCCATCTCGGCCTTAATGATCTTTGTCTTGGCTTCAATGCTAGCAATTTCCTTAATAACGGCGTCCTTCGTCTCCGCGAGCAGTTCCTGCGTTTTGCCCAGCTTGTGTGAGAGAAATACTTCGCCAATTAAGAAGGGAATATCTTCCTCCTCGTCGAACAGTTCGATTTCTTCCAATGCCTCCTCAACGCATTTGAGATCATTCTTTTTCATCTCCAGCTCCATTTTCAAGTCATCCATGCGGACATTGTGCTTGGCAAAGCGGTTGATACGCTGTTGATCCTCGAAAGAAATGTGCACATCGTCATGCTGCAAATGGAAACCGAATGGGATTAGTCAACGCCCCTCGCATCCCACGCAGTAGAAGGGAACAGTGAGGTTACTCTGGCGTGCCGCGAGTTCCGGCACATGAACTTACATTCTGGAACACTTTGCTTGTACTGCTAGCTACTTTGGCGGCCATTTCTGTTGAATTTGATGAGTTTCTTTTTATAAATTAATGGTTTTTTAAACAGTTGGCGTTTGCAACTTTTTTGTTATTCTGGCTGAAAAGTATGCTGTGGAGGCCGGCCGATATTTTATATTTTCCGTTATCGAAAGGTAACAGAGGTATGCCAAGTTAACAGATGTTAAATAGCACTGTCAGAAACAGCAGCTGAGGCAGACGGACGTCATTCGCAGTTTTTTTTCCTATTTTAAGGCACGAATTCTGATTTGTCAAGGTAATTATTAAACGTAATAAATGCCAAAAATTTGCCAAGTGCTGGGCACTATAAATATGCCCAATTATTGCTTGGCAAAGGTGCAGCAACTAGCCACAGTTGCAGACGTTCCCAGTGCTAAAATTACATAACCTCTTTGAGGCTAAGTGCAGAATGTTTATAATAACTATTTGTGTCTTTATCCAAATACTTGTTGGCTTCATATGTGGCTTGTAATCCCCACTCCATTAATCTCTATTGACACGCCCACAGCTTAAAACATGCGTCTAACCTCGATCCTCAACGGCGCCCACTTCGGCAACCTCGCCAAGGTGCACGGCATTGTCGTCTACAAGCTATCGCCCTTCGAGCAGCGCGCATTCGCCGGCGCGATCAGCCACGGTCTGCCAAACATTGTGCGCCGCATCCGCTCCAACATCTTCCGTGTGACACCACGTACGTTTGTGCAGTGTATATTATTCTTACATGATCTAATCATTGTTACTATTTTGCAGCCTTCATCCTGGGTTATCTGATCTACGATTTGACCGAACGCAAGCATACAGCTTTGCTACGCAAAAATCCTGCTGATTTTGAGAATGACGAATAAACGAACTGTCTCCTAGTCGGCACACATTAGCAAATAGTGATGTTAAGCTAAATAATAAAACAAAACCCGCAGTTCAATCGTGTGCACATTCTGTATTATGGTTTGCTTGAGACTTCGATAATGTGTTTGGGTAAAATGTAAGAAAAACCGAAGGTTTCTAGGAAAAATCATAGAATGTGAATTGCTAACGTTGCAAATAGTGATATTTGAGTTAGTGAGCAGCTAAAATGATTAAATTGCAAATATTTAATATCATTATTGAAGGTAACAGCTGTTGGTAGCGTTGCCAAATGCTAGACACTTTTTCATACGTTTTTCAACACTGCAGTTTTTATGCCCTTGCCAACACACTCGCTCGCACCAGCTGTTCGTCGCCAAAAACAAGAGACTTAAATTTTATATACATCTAACGCGACGATAGCTGTAGTTTTTTTTACTTAAAAACCATCGTACTTAATATATGTCACATATATGGACTGCTGTGGTAGTGAAGTGCGCAGCGAAAGCATTTACAACATGCTGCAAGCCTTAGTCGACTCGAAAGTAATCAACGTCCAGTTGTTTACCATCGCTGTGGGCATTTTCTTTGTGGTGCTGCTGTTGAAAAATAATTTTCGTAGCTTTTCGGGCACATAAAACAAGCTGAACCTGGCGAATTTAGTGGTTAATTAATGTAATAATGTAATGTACACAATTTAGCTAAGCAATAATAATAACCATTCAAAGCAAAATGTAATTTTATTCATTGTTCTTATTCTTAGAGCGGAGCACCTTGGCAGTGACGTCACGTTTGTGGGCCAGTTTCGCAGTATTCATGTTACAGAAACGGTTCAGGGTCATCGCCGTCATTGGCTGAGCACCTGAGCGAGGCATGAAATAACACAAATGTCAATTATAAAGCAAACATAATGCATACTAATTGCAAGCGAAGGTCAATTGAACAGCTTTAGTACCTAAGGGGTTGTCCATCAGGCTGCCAAAAATATAAATATTTGTATAACGTCTATTTCATCAGAAGATTGTGAATCATGGTATATTCAAAGATAAGATTGTCTACAAGTGGCATTTGTGATGCAGTATTGCAGTTACTTTCCTGTTATTAGTTCTATTGAGTTCCTCTTTGAACTTTTGGCCTAGTTCTTTTTTCTATTCCTTTTTATAACGTTCCCATAAGTTGCAAGTACGCCCAATCATTTTCAATTGGCATTTCGTTTAAGTTTGCCACAAATAACTTCAATTGACCAACGATCGTTTGTTGCACGCACTTCCTGGTGCAGTCGCAATCGCGTCGCCTATTAGAATTCAATAGACGTTTCGAGGCGTGACCTACGCCATTTTTGGACTAGGCGCTGGAGTATTTATGGGAAATATGCTACGTGCTCTTTTGCACAAATTTTGCATTAGGATACGAATGCACCGAACAAAGCAAACGCAACGCTTGCAATCGCTGTCAGAGTCCAATCGAGAGACCGAAACGTGACAGTTTTACCACTTGTTGGACTGCAAATAAGATGAAATAGCTGTCAATTCAATCAAAATTATAAAATGTTTGTATGAACCCATGGGATTCTTCATTATGAACAACATGCATCAAATCTGGACGAAAAATCCCAGACAGTTCACAATGGAACTTCAAATTTTTCCTTACGAGCCGAATCGAGACACGAACCATCAACTGTTCTTTAAACAGGTGAGCCGCAGTAAGCCATAGATAATAGAAAATCCAGTTTAGTTAAAAAAAAAAAACGGGAATTTTTAAAAAATATTTATTTTTAATTCTGCGTGACAAAGTCATTAAAACATTGACCTTAGAGACAGCGCTAATTAATTAAATGTAATTTAAATGGCGAACAAGTCTGCTGTTCGAAAAAAAAAACTAGGTTCATGTTGAAAATCAGGTTCATGAACCGAACCAAAGACAGGGCTGTTATTAGTTGGTTTGGAGTAAATATTTAAATATATATATTTTCTTGAAATGCCGCGCAATAATTGAACGCATTTTCTTTGTTAAACATTGTCAATGAACTTGGAGGCAAAGAAATTCTAAGAAACCAGAAACGAATTGCTGACCGAAGTTCCGCCAAGGCGAAGTTTTAATGAATGAGCCGACAGTTTTTGTTAACTAACAATTATGGGACGTCATTTCGCTATGCATACACTTTTAATACGTTGAAACAATACAAAAATTTAATTAAAAACAAAAAATACGAATAGACAAATCTTGTTACAACTTGTTGATCGGCTTGGTGCATGATTAATTGCGGTTTAGTTTCTTTCTGAGTGCTGTGCCTAGACAGGAAAAGTTTGGGTTCTTTCCAGGTTTGCACCTGGAGCGAATATCCGAATGCTCTTCCTCCCCGTCACAGCCAACGTCCTCAAAAGCATCCGATTTTTGAATATTTATGAACGGTTTTGGGACCTTCTGTTCTGGTGTTGATTTCTGGTCTAAATTTTCAATTAGTCCCAAGAACTCTGCGTGTTGCTCATTATAGCGTGCTATGATCATGTCCCGGCGCTTCAGCCTGGACTTGAGTTCCTTTATATTTTTCTGCAGCCTGTCCACCAGCTGAGCCTTGGCGCTGATGCAGTTCATGTCCTGGCGCACACTCTGCAGCTGCGTTTCCAACTGGGTGGCGCTCGACTTGACCTCGCCCATTTGCTTTTTGTACTTTAAGCGCGTTCTCTGTATCTGCTCCTCCAGATAGGCAATGTACAATTCCTGATTTGTTTGACCCTTTTTGTCAAGCTTTTTAATATCAATCTTAGTTTCTTCGCCGCATTCCCCGCCGCCGTCGCACAGCTGGAAATGTTTGGCATGCTTCTGGTAGAGCTCATCGCGATCCGAGCGCATCAGGGCCAGCTCCTGGCGCAGTAGCTGTATCTCCTGCTCCATGCGTGCGGCCTTCGACATTGTCACAGCTCGCTTTTTTTGCAATTACGTATAAAAATCAAAACTGTTGTTTGCCTTTTTCTTAAAGAAAATTTTGCTTACACTTCTTGTGAATTTGGCTATGTAAAACATAAGAACATTAAGACTAAAGGAATTTATTGCTTAGACGTTGGAATACCTGAATATTTGACGTCCAAAGCAAGGCAAGGCTTTTCCATACTATTTCTATTATCATGGGTCGAACCCTAAGCCAAGGCAGAAATCCGAACTGAAGCATGAATCGATCCAAAAACCAGCAAGCTGGTTCTACTCATGCACTGAAACACTTCCAAATGTGTTGAAGCCCAGTTGAATGTATTTTAGGGATTATCCATAGATGTCTTTCTACGGCTCTAACAGCGAAGAGCACGTGTCCGGTTAGTTATTAGCCCAATTTTTTCGGTAAGTCAATTAAGTCTCTTGGCCATTTATGTAGACGGCTACCTAATTTCTGTTTCGTCGCATAAAGTGCTCAATTTCATGAGCAAAAAATTTTGGTTTTATTTTTTCTTTTTGGGTAACGCTCAGAGAGAAAATGACTGCAATTTGATCGGGGTATTTCAATATCGCATAATTTGCATCACAGAATTCGCGTTTGGGCCTTTAGTGCGGGGCGTACGGGATTTAAACGCGTCACGCCCACAGCTCTGATGGTGGCCCAGAGGGCGGTTTGTCCATTGCCAAACCAAGCAAGGTCCAGTGGCAAAGCAAATACACACACACATACACACATCTATATATATATATATATATACGTGTTGTATACTTTTGGCATTTCGCTGTTTGGTTTTCTTTTTTTTTTTTGTTTGTAAGCATAATTTGTATTTTTCGCCTCGAGATGCCGCACATTTGATAAGGGTTATCGATACCCGGTCTCGGGACCGAACCCAGTTGCTTATTATGAGTTTTTTCCCGAAGCCTTAATACCGTCTTTTCGTGTGGAAGGGTTAAAAGGGTATGCTAATACTGTGTAACGCAATCACGTCTTCCTGCTAATCTGTATATCTTTAAATCTGTAGGCTAATCACAACATTTGGAGACAAATTGCCCTTAAGTTTTGGGGTTTCATTTTAAAATGCGGTGCGCCCTTCTGTGTGATTCTCATTGCCTGAAGCTATACTCCAAATTTTTTGATATTGTTTTGATTACCAAGAGCTTCAATGTCCCTATTCTGGATTCTGAAGCTCTTTATATATGTATATATATATATATATATATATATATATATATATATTTATTTATTTCTTTCTTTTTTTTTCAATCACTCTATCTGCAACTTCTTTACAAACTTACTTCATATTCTTTTTGCCTATCCTTCTATCTGGCCTCCTTGTATCTGTGAAAATCGCATAGAAAGGCGTTTCATTTTTAATAGTATTGATAAGATATAAGATATAAGATTGATGCCACATACAAGTATTTAATATGGTTTTGGCACTCTTGGTACTGAGTATCTTTTAGTTGAGCCCTTTTTGAAGAGATCATTTTGGATTTTGTTTGTAAATTATATAAGTTGTAATTCATTTGGTATGGTGCTTTATGTGGCGTATATGCATGTGTATGGGCAGCATAAATTTGGCTAAGGTATGTGTCTTGCATGCCTTTACCTCAGAGACAAAGAGAAAAATATTGCACTTCAGATCGGATTGCATGTGTTTTTTGTGTAAGGCATACGGCAGTATAATGATGCAAATATGTTATGGTAGACTGCTCGACTATAGCATGAAAGTGTTTTCTTATATTAGATCACCTACAAAGCCTCAAATTTGCTTCGGAACTGTGATAATGATCTTTCTAGCAGCGATGATATCACATTATAATAACAGCCGAGCCCTTTCGCAGCTCAATGTCAAGGTCTTTTTAAATTAAATCTGTTTTTTTCTGATATTTTTTGCTGTTGTTGTTTTCTCAATTTGACAAAGTTGTTCCCACTTGAGCAATTTGCATAAATTTAAGGTCAGTCGCACAATAAAAATCCAGACATGATTTGTGATATGCATGTGTGTATCTGTGTGTGTGTTGTGTGTGTCTGAATATTTTTTTTCGGCAACTTTTGTGCCAGATTGTGTGGCAAGTTCAAACTATGCGAAATTTAGATAAGTGTGTGGAAAGGAAGCTGAAAGCATAAAGCAAAACCAGGAATATAAATTTAGGAAATATTTAAAAAAAACATACCAATTTTTAAGTTTGCAATGACTTATATTAAGTCTGTCAGAGCTGCACATAAGGTTCACATTAATTAAGGCACTCTAAATAATATTTTTTTTGAAAAAACTTTGTTTTAAAAAATATTTCAAAGAAACTAAGCCATTAACTTGAACTTATTTGAAGTCGATTGTAGCTATATCTAAAGTTGACACAACTTGACGCACTCTAGAATTCTTGCGAGCGCAATCCGGCCAGACAAATGCCAAGGCAGACGAGCCATGTGCCGAAAACTGATATCAAATGCAAAATCCAAACAAAAAAAAAAACACAAAAAAACGTACAAAAAAATAAATAATAAAAGCAAAAACTTGACTAACATCTACGAAAAGAAAGGAATGGATAAGGACAGCAGCAGCAGACAATAAGCAGACAAGGCGAACCCAATTTCCAGACACAGACACAGACTCGACCACGAAGGGTCCCAGGGTCCGGAAGGCCGGCGGGGCAGAGCGGAAAGCTGACAAACTTGAGGCTGCGTCTGGGTTTTGGGTCTGTCGACGACGTAGACGTAATCTAGACGCCTTTTGTTTGCACAAAAAAAAAAACAACAAAAAAAACAAACAAAAGCACAATAAGGGCCAGCAGAGCCAAGGCTCTGCCAGCTTGTAGAGGGGAAAGCGGAGAGGGGCTCAGGGGGAGTCCGATCAAGTGCACTACTTAGTTGCGGGCAGCTGCCAGTTAAAGGCGTAGCCACGCCCACAGCTCCACAATGTTTCAGATTGTTTTTCCCAAAAATTTCACTCTAATTGCGCTTAATTTAAACTGCAGACTTAGGCGAAGACTTTGCCCCGGCTATTTTTTTTTGCCATTTTATATATACTTCATATATTTATATATAGGATATGTATATATACATATATATAATTCGTGTGCTTGTCGATTGCATTTGATTTAATTCGATTGCTAGACGCCAGACATTACGCAACAAATGTCGCCAATTTTGGACCACTTTGCAGAAACGTGAAAGTCGGGTAACAATGACTGCCCGATACTCTGTTCTTGCTCTTCTTTTCTTGTATAAGATGCAATTTTACAGGAACTACTTGCATATATACCATTTTTTTAGAGTACTTCTTAAGATAAAGAGTTTAGTCATTTGATATTTAGTTTATAAAGTTATGTCACTGAGTTATGTGTTTATTGGATGACTCCGAATCCGTTTGTTTTTTCTCAAAAAGTCTGCTGTAAGTATTGGAGCTTCATATTACTTGGGTATATACCATTCTTTTTAGAGTGCTTGGCTTAGCCATAATATATTTTCTCAATTCAAAAAATCGCAAACACTCGCTTTTCTTATTGGATTTGTGATTCTAAGACAGTCAGTCGCTTTCAAACTGTGATTTGAGGACATATTGGTATTCAGAATGTCTGGGCCGCAATCTCAAAAAGATCTCTATTCCAGTTGATTTTGTTGAGCATATCTCATCACTGTGAGATGGGGCCCCCCTTTAACTAAGGCGAATATACTTATAATTCGCACTCTTCCTTCCCAGCCGCGTCTTGCACTCAACCCATATACCCTTTTCAATTTAGTGAACAGTGTACGCATGGAGAAAAAAAATTGCAATTTGTGTGGCAGACAATTTAGATTGGGTTTCATTAAACAGGTTGCTGTTGCCATGCGTTGACATTTTGATAAAAAATTATTAGTTTAACAAAAAAAATTGGTGTTTGAAATATGTGCACACTGTGCCGCAATCGCACACTGGGCAAACACTAGGCGAAACAATCGACAGCATCTACATGAAATTGACTTTAAAAGTAAATGAAATATGCAACAGTTCTTAGAATGGCCCAGACTCTTCAAATGGGGGTAAACGCCCCCCTACGAGATATTAGCTTTGCAAATTTTGCACTTTTGGCGACGCTTTTCAATCAAGAATTGGGCAACAGACATCCGCTCCGCTTCACGACATTTGCAAATTCCAATATATGTAAAAAACAAACCAATTATTTCTTATTTATACGCCCGAGCACACACACACACACACACAAACACACTATAAAAAAGGCGAAATACCAAACAAAAACTCGCAAAACATAACTCAAAAAATGCAAACTTCAATTTCCGACAGGCACAAAAGCCTGGCCCTTTTCCAATCCCCACTGTACCTCATCTCTGCAAGAAGGGAGGGGGGGGAGGCGGCAGGCGAGTTATTAAAACTGCACAAGGAAATGCATAAAAAAACAAACACCGAGTTTGTTATGTTGCGCAGGCGCAGCCCAAGTAACGCCTTCAACAGCTGTGGGGCGAGGGGGCAGGCAGGACGTGAGGGGTGGCAGCAAAATGTTATTGACCCGCCGCACGGATCCGTTAGCGAGCCACAGCCCCGGCCAGGAATTCTTATTAAGATCAATCAGCTAAATGTCGGTTTTATGCTTAATGTTCATGATTCACACGCGCAAAAGCACCAAAATCGAAAAACCCGAAACAAAGAAGAAGACACAACCAAAGTCTTATCTGAGGCATGTGAACGAATGAATATTCTTGCAAAAAAAACTTGGTATTAATGGATTTTTTCGAATACTTCTGATATCGTACTTAAGAAAGTAAAAATAACAGAAAAATAATGAAAGTCCTTCGGAGAAATGTTCAAAGTTGGGAAGCTTTTAGGGTTGCAGATGAAATTTGTATTCATGAGAATCGCATAGAAGGGCATTTTTCAAAATGAAGTGGTTTTGGTATGCTGCCCTGTGCTATTCAAATCCTGCAGCGCTTCAAATAAAAGGTATATATTTTTTATATTGCCGTTCTTTGCGATTCTCATGAATTCAAGTGAACCCTCAACATTTTCTTTGCTTTGAGTGTTATGCGTATGGTCGTTATGTAAAAATGAGATATTGACATCTAATAAACATTAATTTAATTGTTTTTAATGTACTCATGTATGCATATATGTATGTAAGTATGTGTGTATGTATGTGCGTGTACTTACATTTGCATTTATG